AATAATTTTCACTGAGGACTAATATTGCAACTATAATAATATGAATAAAAATTAAATGTTTCAATTAGTTTAGATTGGCTAGTAAAGGCCAAACACAAAGACAAAACTGAGGCAGTGAGCCTCACAATGCCTCTACTCATTTCTCTACTGGCCCTTCCTCTGCACATGGTCAATTAGAATTGAAAATCCTGTGCTGATTTCATTCGCTGGAATTTTTAAGCAGGTCAGGAAGAAAGATGTTATTGAAAGGAAAAGTCTCATCTAAATAAGAAAGGAGCACGTGGCCATCTGGTCTTAGCTATACATATAAAAAGTTATTTCAGCTGAACTGCAGGCTTAAAGTTTAAAAAAGATGTGCCAAAAATCAACCCCAAATCTGTTTACGGTAAAATATCCCAAAAGGTTTCTTTTTAACCCTCCAAATATGCAATACACAGTTCATTTCCTATCTGTGATTCATGAGCCCATTTGACCCCAGCGCCTCACTGAGCTTGACTGAGTTTCAGGCAGTGGAACATTCAATCACTTTTAGAACACTTATCCTGCATGCGGGTATCAACAGGACTGTGAATCTACTGAAAATTGTGAAAATAACTTTGATAGTTTTTACTCAAATTAATTTCGAGTGTTGTCTGCATGGAGGCTTGGGGGAATAAAATTTGAGGCATAAAGAAGCCAAACGAGTTTCCTTTCTTTTCTCATCGCAGTTTGAGGTTCTTGGGCACTCTCTGCACACTGTATTCAGACATCTACTCACAATAATTTTAGACCCTGCGCCTAAAGGCTAAGTTTTAAAAAAAACAATCTCTCTTTTTTTAAAGAGAAATTATGAGTGTTGAGTCTTTTAGAAATCAGCTTAATGATGGTATGAAACAGAGGTGGGTTTTTTTAAAATATAAAATTATATACTGTTTCCCAAATTAAATCATAACTTTTGATAAGATTAAAATATTTCTTGATATGAGGCATCTGAAATAATTATATCAATGCATTAATTTATCCAGTATCTGAGCATGCTCTTCTACTAGTACAGAAATAGCTAGTTGAAACCGCCATCCAAATTTTATTGTATTAAAATATGTTAATATTCTAGAACATTTTAAAACCTCTTGTTATAATATAACACTGCAATTATTTTGCATCATAAGACTATATGCACGTGTATTACATATATACATTAAATATACTACATGCATGTACAAGGCATATATGATCATAACATTAACATATGTTAAACAAGAGTATGGGTTTTAGCTGTCTTCAGATAAATGATCAGATTAAGAATATTCTTATATATAAAACACAAGAATCTTGATACTGTATTTCCCTGACTTAAGATATCCATTGGTTGTTTTTGTATATCTAATTGTTTGTTCTGCCATTTCAAATAAATCATTGCCATTGTGTAAGAAGAATAAACTGTACTGTAGTAAATAGTTCTTTCTCTGTAATGCTGTGAAAAACCATTTGTTCTTGAATTGGCCTTACGTAGTTCAACTATTTCAATCAAGTCCATTATCTTCTTGTCTTTGAAAGATGCCTTCTTAGTAACCTGTGTCCCCAGTGGGCAACGTCATATATTGTTTTTAGAAAGTAGGTGAAATTTAAATCCAATTATTTGTTCATTTTTAATCTTTGAAAAGCAATTATATAATTCGCTATCAGTCAAGAACTCCACTATATTTTCGCAGAACTGTTTTTTATAAAAATTATAGAGCCCGGCTAAAGAATTTCTCAAAAAAGTTATTTATTAGTTCACGTGGAGTCTTATCCCATTGAATATCACCCAACTTGCGTAGCTTGTTTTTCCTAAGTACAAAATGTATCAATTCTATAAACTATATCTTTTTCTTAACAATAAAAACATGAAAGCAAAAAAACCCCCAATTTTTTTCACTTGTTTTAAAACAATCACATAATACATTGGCAAAATGAATCTCATTAATTTTTGTGTTGACATATAAATAGTGTTGTTCATACGCATATGCTTTGAAAACCCTTTCAAAATCCTTTTTTGGGTATGCAAGAATAAAAAGTATTAACAGCAAATTCCAAAATTTTAAAAATTATGTATCAAACACTTGGTATATAACAACTGGTAAGTACACCAGTCATCCTATATTAATACAGATTAATTTAAGATACATACCAAAACTTGGTACTTCAGTGCAGTATTTATACATAGTTGTTCTGTATTTACATCTCTAATCTGGCAATGTGTTTTGGTGAAAGTATGAAACTTTGTTTTATTTGATTTCAGTAAAATAAAATAATGTACTTTAATGTGTACATTAAATAAATCTGAACATTTGTTTGGCGAGTGACTGTTTAATGTAAGACCCATAAAATAGACTTGAAAATAAATACAAACACTACACAGTGCACAAAAAAAAGGTAATCTGACTATCATCTAATCCAGAGATATACCCCTTTGCACATGAAATGAACACTATTTCTAAATCATTTGTATAAGATTATTCTTTCTTTAAGAAATATTAAAAGAAAAAATGATTTAATGGTTACCAAGTCATAATAAGTATTAGTATAGTAGTAGCATTTACATCCAAATTATCTCAGAATGTTCACCGTTTCCATATCCTACTCCTATCATTGAAATTCAGCCACCTCTGAAATGTTCCACCAGCCTGCTAACAAGCCTTCCCGGAACCGGGAAACTCTGCCTGACTACATACATCTTGATAAACATGCCCACACTGCCCCAGAAACACATCTTCGAGAGGGAGATAGTGACAAATAAAACCGTGCTCGCGTGTGGGTGTCGGTTAACCCCGCAAACACGTGAACTTCCTATGGGCACACACCCAGCAGACATTGGCAATTAGGTGACTGCAAATGTTGCCCACAAAGGCGAAATTTTATACGTAATGACATCACCAGCTAACCTGGGTTTCTCTGTGATATAATGATATAATGGCCTGGCTGAGTGCGTGGAGAGAGAGGGGGGAAGAGAGAGAGAGAGAGAGAGAGAGAGAGAGAGAGAGAGAGAGAGAGAGAGAGAGAGATGCTTAAAGAACAGCATCATCATCGGGCATGGTATAGAATCTTCTGCCAGGTTTGCAAAAACCTTTCCAGAGACCTTTGACTTTTCCCAGATTTCATACAGCTCAAGTTCATTCAACAACGCATTCCCTGAGCCAGCAAATTATGTTTTGTTTAGTTAGCACACTGTTAATCCTAAAATATCCTGACAGGGTCTGTTCAGATGAGATTTCTACCCCAGATGAGGCATGTGCATCTGTGTAATACGGTGCAGGAGTTGCAAAGTCCCTGGAGACATGCCTTTGAACAGAGAAGACGTCTTGGTGCTAAAGGTAACGAAAGGGTTAAGAATCGAGGCTGTCTAGGGTAAGAGAAAGGGGATATTGTTGTCTTTAATCTTTCCGCAGTATGTGTAAGACTTCCATCCCGGATCTGCACATAGCAGTGCAATAGGCTCGGCATGCATTGCGTGCAAGCTCCTTGATTGTAGAAGGGGGAAAAAAACCTGGCTGGAGTCCAGACAGGCTGGAGCTCTGTTGATCATTATGTCTAGCCTTCAGGTGTCTCAGCACACAGTGGGCGGCGGTGGGGGAGGTGGAGATAACAGGAGAGCAGACAAAGAAAAAAAAAAATGGTGTATTTTTAAAAGATTATACAAAAATTTGTATCTAAGCCCTCCTTGAAAAATGAATCCTAACGTCTTGGACTTTTATAATTAGAACACGAGCTCTGCCCTGGCAGCTCTGTTTAAGCCATAATTAGTTATGTCTGGAGTCTTTGAATAATTCCTTTCAATAATTGATGGAGTTAATATTCTCTTTTAAAAATAAGGAGGGCGATGTTTTCTGACCAACTCTCTGTTTGTGGGAGCCTTTGTCGTTCGAAATCTTCATCAGTCATAATCACATTGATTTGATTTGCCTTTTAATTCTTATGAGACAGCGTATAACTTTTTAAGGATTTGGATGATTCTAGAAGTGAAAGCATAACGCTTTGCTAGATTACCCTAACTGAATACAAAAAGAAAGCAGTATTACAGGAACGTTCTTCCCCATTTGTTTCCAATTATTTCATAAATTAAAAAAAAAAAAACTGCTTTGTATGTTGCTTCTGTTTGAAACTCCATCAAAAAAATCTTACTATGAATGTAAGTAACTTAGATGCTAACCATATCTTTTGCATGCTAGCAAGGAGAAAATCCAAATTATTTTATTCCTCAAGCATTCTTCTATAAAGAAGCTTCTGCATGTTTCCTCCCCACCCCCACATCCTCACTCCACCCTATTAGGAATTAAAAAAAAAAAAATCTTTATACATGGAAGGCTGGATCCTAAGACAGAAAGCTGTCTTTTCCTTCTGTCTGTCTTTACACTGGCCACTTTCAGTCGCCCTTACTGCTGGGACTTTAATTTCACATTTGGTGGACTGAAACACTGAAATCAGTTTAGTCTCTATCATTATTAGAAAATTAAAAGTAGTGGTTAAAAAATAAATAAAAAGAAAGCCCTGGCCTTAAGCCATTGTTCAGAATTTAAGAGCTATTTGCCCCCAAGTGTCTTAGCAGTCTTTCATAGCTAATTATAATAACTGTCAGATGTCTGGAGAGTCTAGGGTGCCCTTGTCAGTGGAGTCAGCAAAGTTTGTCTTTTATTTTTCTTGGGGACAGATCAAATCTGATTAGACATCAAGAGCGAAAAGAAGTGAACTAAGTACATGTGTGTGCCTTCGTTTTTCTTACGAACAAAGCAGCATACTGGAGCAATGTTCCGGTGTGCAGCCTCCTGCAGCTACTCTTTGGAATTCCTGACTTTTATTTTTAATTTTTTATCTTTCACAGAATAAAGCACGCAACAATTGTCCATGGAGCATTTCCTTCCAGTTGAATACCCTTCAACACACACATAAAAGAGTACCCTAAAAAAAATCTTCAAAAATATTTGATGCTTATGACATACAACTATTTTAATCAGTACACTTGATGGAAAGAAATATATACTTACAATTTCGAAATGGTTATTTGCCGTAGTTCCTGGTCTCCAGAGGTAGAGCAGAGGCTTCTGCCAGACTGTCCTTGATGCAGGTGCAGAATTCCTGTTTTCATGCTGGAAAAAGGTCGAAAAGTGCTTCATAAAGTCACTCGGAACTCAGCCACTTGTGCTCAGGCATCCCTGCTCCTGTGGCAGCTGTACTATCTGCAGTTCTGAATTGAACTAAATTACAGCCCATGTGAAAGACAGGGGCAGCAGTCACGTGAGAGACACACGGCTATCCGATTGGCCACAAAGACATGGCTTAGGCATTCTGCCTGTTCCACCATTGGGGAATAGTTAAAACTGAAAGCATCTAGATCCTCCTCTTGAGCTTATTTGTCCTTTATGTGTAGAAGAATGACTGTAGGATTTTACAGTGACAGAATTAGTTAAGAAAGGGACTGAAGTCATCCTTCACAGAGACTGGTGGGAGGAAACTGGAAGCTCAGCTTTTTCAAGATTTTCTTCCGTTTTTATCCCCTGGCCCTGCAGATTTGTCTGTGATTTGCCCGTTGGCTTGTCAGAAAAATGTTTCTCTTTTTTTCTTCAGTTAACTGTGGAGGTGATGGAAAGTAAATTATCATCACATTCCTTTGTGGCACTCAGTCATATTTTGAAGGACAAAACCAATTTTTTTTTCAATGATGAGTTTTCAATTTTATTTTGGTATTTAAAGAGGCTTTATTGCATTCTATGGTAACAAACTAATTTGTTCATTAGTGACACCAGAAACAGAATGAACTATTTAAAGTAGTTAATACATTTTGGAGAAAGCAGAGGAAAACGTAATTCTGGAAAATATTAAAAAACAACAATATATCAAATAAACCAAGGAAGGGGCTTCGACTAGGTGGGTATAGAGAGGAAATAAAATTTTTCCACTCAAAGCCGTTCTTTAGTTCACTTCTTTTGCTCATGCAGAATGTCCATAAAACTGCCAGACAGAAGGTATTTTTTAGTTATTCCAGGACTATTTAACTCACCTAATCCTTTAAGAAACCTCTGGTGCATTTGTAACGATTTATAGGTGTGTGTTACCCTTGATATCATCAAATCCCACATTCCTAATATTAGAGGTGAGGAAGGTGGGCTTTGACAAATAATGACTGTTCATAACCCTGATCAAGGGTTATGCAAAATAAATTAAGAAACATCGAAATGAACAGTAGTTTGCTTTCTTACATAGCTACTAAAAGGCAGTCACTCTTTTAATTTCATTATTGTAACAACACATAGAGTCAGTTTTATTACTTTCATTTCTCAGTAGCAAAACAGACTCAGATGTTTTGCTACCACAGTAGTGCTTGGATTTGTGTGATTGATTTCATGCTTGCTTTTTCAGCTAGGTATGTTGTATGTTGCCTTCCCCCAAAATAATTGTTATCACTTATAGGTACCTTCCATCTGTAGGGTGGGTAATGTGCAAATCACTTCATACCTTCTCATTCAATCCTCACAATTATGAATGAGTTAGTTATTCTTTTATCCCCATTTCATAGATGGGAAAATGAGGCTCATATTACTCAGTGTCAAGTAGTTGGTGGTTGGTGCCATGTGACTCAAACCACCTGCCACCCATTTTATATATGATATGGATTCTTATCATGGTGTTCAATAAGTTTGGTTGGTTGGTTTCATTTGTTTTCTTTCTGGTACAACATGTTTGAATATCTTGCCATACATATAGAATATGCACTGTGGTCATATAAGTGTGTTTGGTTCAGACCCAAATCATACCAGAAAGTGACTGATATAGGACTGGAAACAGGCATTAGAGGGACCATCAGAGAACCATATCTACCTTTGGGCCCCCCAAGAGGCCTTGCACAGGGTCTTGCAACCATAGGAGCTTCTAGGAAACACTTCAGAACTTCAGTTTGGGCTCTACAGAGTCCTACTCTTGGTTGAAAGCCTGAAAGCTGTTAGATAGTAGGATAAGACAAGTTCTGGGACATTTAAAAAATGGTATGAAAAATTCTGTCTCAGTCAGGAAAATACTAAGAGCCCCCAGGGAGTTTCTTAAATTATGCTTCTCCTGCAGCCTAAGTCATACAAACTAAAGAAAACTTCCATTGCCTCCCCCACCTTCATGCAGTGTTTGCAGACTGGAGGTGTTGGCTGAAGGGAGTATGGCTGCGTCTTACTCAGAGTACGATGTGGCTAGGAGAGGTGAAGCAAGTCCTAGGTGGAATTAGAAGATACTCTTTAGTTTTCTCTTTTACCGAACAACTATTTTTCTTTCCATAAATGTTGCTTAGTTTCCTAAATTATTCAGTCACCTCATGCTGTCCAGAAAGCTTCTAGGTCTGCCCTGTCGTGCAGCACATGTGTGATCGTATTATGTTGTCCTTATTTACATCAAATAAGCTTCTCTACTATATTGTCAACATTTTAAGAACTGGGCCATATCTCATTATTTTCTTAAAATCCTTCATCATGCCTATCATAGTAGAAATGAGATAAATATTTGATTATTCCTTCTTTTGTCTTGCAGTGACCTATTCACCAGTATCTGTCAGATCAGAAATTAATCTGGGGAGATAGTGCTAATGGATTAAAAAAATAATGTTTTAAAATAAAGTCTAAATAAATGAATTAGATACTGAAAACAAATAGGGAAATTATTGTGAGACCACACGCTCTCCCCAATATTGATCTAAATTAATCACATGCAATGCTTACACTGACTAAACTGACAGTCACAGTATGAGCATCCGTTGACCTGAGTCCTCTCTGCTGACATCCCCCAGCTTCTTCGGTCCATCTCATTCACTGCAGACCAGGCATCTGCTTCTCAGACGTCCTCTTCTCCTCTAGTCCTCCCATCACCCTGCTTCAGTTCAGGGATCACAAGGGCAATCCGTTCAACACTCTAATATCTCAGCTCATTGACCTCCATTCCATCCATGTGTACCTCCACATTCCCGCTCACCAATTCCCATACCGTAGAGCTTGGGAAATTGTATTTGTGATATTGTAAAACCCAGCCACCTCCTATCGTCTCTGACTAGCATCTTCAGTCCTTCCAACTCTATCACTGCTCTCACTTTTCGGCATCTTTGACACCTCCAATCATTTGGTTTCCTGATTTTCTCCTTATATATTGTTCATTCTTTCTTGTTTTCTTCCCTTTTCTTTCATACTTCATTCCCTATTATAGTCTGTGGTTCAATAAGCCTACTAGTCCAAACCCACTTTTGGGTAAATCCAACCGATAATCTCGGGCTATTCTTTGCTTTCTAAGGGCTGCTGGATAAAATTCTCACAAGCCTGTGAAGGATGTTACTAGAACTGACGGTCTCTAAGTTTGGCTAGTGACTCAGTGATGTGTCGGAAACCCATGTCTCTCCATCCGAGTCTTTCTACACAATGCTGCCCAATCTTTTTTCCTTTCTCTCCCCCCTTGCTCTCCTTAGATTGCATTTCCTTCTCATTCTCAGGAGAATCAACAAACTTGCCTATACGTAGACTCATCCTTTTCTCATTCCTTCCCATTGCAACAGGAAAGTTGTTTTTGAACTTGTCCAAGTCAGATCACTCACTGTGTACGTTGGGATCAACCCCTCCTGCCAACTCAGAAATTTTCCCTTAGATGTTTCTCTCTCAAATTGTCAACAGCTCCCGGCCTAGTGACTCCTCGTTACTAGCATATTAAAATGCTCAGACCTTCTCTTTAACATTTGAAAACCCCCTACAGAGATACCATGTCTCCCTCCCTGTTTTCTACCCTTCCTGGGCAATCTCTTGAAACATGTAGTGATATTCACTATTTCTACTCTCTGTTCTCTTAATTCTCTACCTAATCAATCTGACTTCCATCCTTTTATGCTGGTTTTTGATAAGACCACCAAATTCCTCTGTGCTGCTAAATTCTAGGAACATTTTTCACTCTTTCTATCATTTGGTTTCTCTAAAAGATCTTTGTGGTTGACCACTCGCTCTTTTTTCACATGTTCTCTCCTTTTGGCTTCAGGTATTCCTGGTTTTCTCCCTATCTTTTTTGTGTCTTCTTGTTCTCTTTTGTGATTTTTTTCCTTTTTTTGTCTCTTACATATATGTATTTTTCAGAACCTCCCTTAGGCCCTATTCTCTTGTCACTCCATAGACTCCCCCTCAGCCATCTCATTAACCTCCTCAGTTCCAATGACAGCTCTCAACAGATGATTTCCACATTTCCATCTGCAGCCCAGACCTTTCTCTTGAGCACCAGAACTATGGATCCCATTGCACCATCCCCCTTGGGTGCACTGGGGAATGGTGCAAACAGATGATTTCCACATTTCCATCTGCAGCCCAGACCTTTCTCCTGAGCACCAGAACTATGGATCCCATTGCACCATCCCCCTTGGGTGCACTGGGGAATGGTGCAGTGGGATACCTCAGACCCTATGATACCTCAGACCCAATATGTCCAACACTGAAGACATCATCGCTTCAAATTCTGTAATTTTCATTGTTTCCTCTTTTGGTGAATGGTACCACTATCCACCAGGGACCAAAGACAGAAAACTTGGGACTAATATTTAAATCTTTTTTTTTTCCTTTACCCAGGCTTTCTTATTCAACTAATTGGTGTGGCCCAGAGATCCCTTGAATCCGTGCACTTCGCTGTGCATTCTTCCTAGTATTTGTGCTTCAGTATGCATGATAGTTGAGATTAGGGGTCCCTTTTGTCTATAGTCTTGCTTAACCCCACTCCAACATTTCCACTATTTTAATGATTCTTTCTCAAACTTGCAGTCAAATGGATCTGTTAAATAGGCAATCTGATTCTTCCACTCCTCTACTGAAATTTCTCTAAGGCCCTTGAGACACCTGCTTTTATAATCCCGTGCACTATTTAGAAAAATATATGGAAATGTTTAATTCTATTCCATAATTCACAAATGAAGAGACAATCTACAGAGTGGGAAAAAGTATTTGCAAACTATGCGTCTAACAAAGGGTTAATAGGCAGAATACATAAGGAACTTAAACAGCTCATCAGCAAAAAAATGAATAGCCTGATTAAAAAAATGGTCAATGAGCCTGAACAGACATTGCTCAAAAGAATACATGCAATTGGTCAATGAGCACATGAATAAGCGCTCAACATCAGTAATCAGGGAAATGCGATTTAAAACCACAATGAGATATTATCTCACTTCGGTTAGAATGGTTTTTATCGA